TCTTTCAAGAAGTTACGTGTTTCATTAAAGTTAAATTTGTTGGCATAAGTTGGTAATATTCCCCTTTTTTATCCTTTTATATCTAGTATTGGTAATTTGTACCTTTTGTTTATTCAACCAGTCTAGCTCAGGAACTTTTTCTTAAAGGGCAAAATAGTAAATAATTTAGGCTTTTCAGAACAAGAGGTGAAAATCTAGAATCTGCTTTAAATGTAACCATTTATAAATGAAAAAAAACAAAACAAAGCTCACAGGCTGTACAGAAAAACAGGTGGCTGGTGGGATTCAGCCCAGTGGGGCCAGGGCTGCAGTTTGCCTAGCCCACTTATCTAACTAAAGGTGTATTGTTTTTAATCTCTGATCTTTATTTTTTCTTTTCTTAATTTGTTCTTTTTCCCCCCAGCTTCTTAAGATGGAAGCTTAGATCATTAGTTTTAGACTTTCTTTTCTAGAAAAGCATTTAAAGCTATAAATTTCCCTCTAAAATTACCTACATTCCACAAATTTTTTATATGTTGTGTTTTCATCTTCCTTTACTCAAATGCTGTCAGAGGAAATTGAATCTTTGGATTGTTTTTTTGTTGGATGGATTAATATCTGAGTTCCAAATACTATCAGAGGGTTGAGAGCTAAATGGATTGCATAATGAATGATTATGAATTACATCTTTAAATAGGTTTCCCCTCTATTTTTGTTGTTGTAAAATATACATAACATAAAATTTACCATTTTAACTGTTTTTAAGTGTGCAGTTCAGTTGCATTAAGTACATTCACCCACCATCCAGAACTCTTTTCATCTTGTAAAACAGAAACTCTGTACTCATTAAACAATAACTTCCCATTTCCTTTTCTACCAAGCCCTGTCAACCACTATTCTACTTTCTGTCCCTGAATTTGACCACTCTACATACCTCATATAAATGGCATCACAGTATTTGTTCTTTTGCATCTGGCTTATTTCACTTAGGATAATGTCCTCAAGATTCATCCATGTCGTAGCATGTGTCAGAGTTTCCTTCCCTTTTTAATAGGTTCTTTATGTAATGATAAATGTTTCTTGAAAAAAATTATGTTACTACTGAACTTTACACTTAATGGTTAAGATGGTAATTTTTATGTTCTGTCCGTTTACCACAATTTTTAAAAATTGCATACTATTTTTTTCTCATCATTGGACACATTTTTACAGACTTGAGTTGTTTTCAAAGACTATGGTATTTATAAGCAGCTTTAAAAATAATCCTAAAACTCAGTGTAAAGATATGATATCTAAAATATACTTTGCAGAAATCAGTGCTGTTTAATGTTACCTCAAGGTTGTGTACGGAAATAGAAGCTATTTTTGGAAGAGTGTACCATGTTTTTCTGTCGCATTTATTGGTTTTTTCACATCTGACAATAAAACTAACATACTGTTGAAAGGAAGTATGATTTTCTTTGATACATCTGTAGAAGGAATAATGTCTTTTGTAAGCACTAAGTCTTGTGAATGTTTACAAGAGTTAAGTAGCCATTTTTGTTTTGTACATTGAAAATCTAAATATAATCGTGAACATTTAACTGATACTGTATAAAAGGGGAACACAGCTTTTTTTTTTTTTTCCTTCACAAACAAAATAGCTGAATTTTCCCCCTGATTTTGTGTAAGGAATGATGGTCTTCCTTAAATGTTCACATAATATAGTAGTGTTTGAGGAAGAAAGAAATATGTGAAATCTCAGAATCCTGCAATAACCATCGTTAAGATTTCAAGATCATTCTTTCATACACTATTTTACATATGTGAACATATGTCCCTCACATCAAATTTATCATAAATGGAAATGTGCATACCCTTTTTCCTTAATGCCCCCACCTCATCCTTGTTAGCTAGATGTATATACTTCTCTATGTTTTTT